TCACGCACAGCATCAATGGTTTTCGGAACAACTGATTTTGGACGACCTTCGCGAAATTCGTCTTAGAGTGAACTACGACCAAGATTGAATTCACCATTCCATCGATAAACACTGGTCCTGATACCATCGATAAACACTGATGGAGCTTCATCGCCAAAAATTGAATTAAGTTCGTCCATGCACTGTTGCTGAGTTAATCTACATCGAAAGTTGTAAAAAATAATCGCACGAAAATGTTCACGATTTAATTCCATTTTTGGGCCAAGATGAATCTTTAAAGTTACTGTAAACAACACAAATAGAGGTCGTATGTCAAAACGTTCTGAGTACGTATAACCCCAAAACATCCAACTTTGCGATAGAGCTGTCAGTTGCCAGATTTCAACACCAGGGTTGTCAAATCCCGTAACATAAAAGACAACCCTCGTAATCAATCCATCCTACAGAACTGTTGCGATGTCTCTTTTGAACTTCATTGACTACTACACTGTCTACTATCAACAATTCATTGAAACCTTGAGCACCCTTTCGCCCTGAGCACCCACAGTGCTCTGGTGCCAGAAGATTATTGGCCTTTAGATGGTTGCAAAGCATACTGGCTATCACAGATCTAAAAATTTATATACTGTGGGGAGACAGTTACTCGGAGTCTTAGGATCGCTAGACTTGCTTATCATAAATGTAACTTCTTCATTAAAAGACTGAATGATAGTTGGATCATTGAATGCAGCTTGAAACCACCTGGCCAGAACCGCATGAGAACATGGGAAATACCAACAGTTTTGAAACCCATCAGTACCTGGCGCTTTCCAATTATGCATCTTTCTGACTGAATTGAAGATATCTCTCTGTGTAATATTAGGAAAACCTATCTGAGGTATATCATAACATTTCCCTTCCTCTTCTGCTAACCAGTAAGCTCCATCATCATGGGCATTGGGGATGCTCCATATTACTCCAATATTCCTCCATCTCGGAGCTTTTAAGAACTGTTTCAGACAACTTTCTTTGATCACTGAGGTGCCTGAAAAATGTCTTCTGGCCGCATGAATATAAAGCATTCTGTTGTCTTCGTTTCATTGCTTTATGATATCTTCTTATAGGGCACCCAAGGGCTGCAACACGCTGTTTCTGATACTCAAGTCTGTCTTGAAGCCTCTCCTCGAAATTCGTCTTGGTTCTTCGAATTCTTATCTTTCGTCCAATCGCCTTCACTGCATTGGAGACCTTTCTATTTCATTTGCAAGAGCTTTTAAGAAAGCTGTCAGAGTGCCAATGTCCCGTCGGAAGCTTTCAATTTTGTGTTCAATACGGCTCAAACACGGGGGTTAGTGGGCTTAGCGAACTGTCCTGTGGCTTTCGATGTTTTTAATTTATCCTGTACAGGTTTACCAAGACCTTGTACAACAGCAAGGGCTGCACAAGACACATAGCTTACAACTTCCTCAAGCACTGTCGATTGTTCTACATCCACCTTCAGCAAGTTATTGTCAGCCTTCACCGCCGCATTTGTACGTGGGCCATATCCCACTCGTGGGATCCATGGTCTGGAGGATAATGGAATTCCATGATAGTATGTCTTCATGGCTTCATAATGCGCAGTCCATGAGAATTGCTCAGGCACTGGGCGGCAGGATTCATCAAAATTCGTCTCCACAGACCATTCCTTATTAGCTTGTGAGTCTTCATTATTTCTTCCTTCATCAGTCTCATTCCTATTCTCAATACCCAAGAATGCTCTTACATTCTCCCTAATGGTATTTATTTCTGCAGCCGAGAGAAAGTTCCTTACAATGATGGTGCGCTGCGGGTCGCACACTCTCTGCTCTGATACCGGTATGTTCAGATGCAGCTTCAACCATTGTTCGTGAAATCGGGCCCTTTATCCTTCCATGTCCGCTTCAAGTCTGGTAGCCAAAAAGTATGCATGCATAATAGAGATATTTAACTCCTTAGTCCAGTTCATGCGCTGACGTTTGCTCTGAGGTCGGGTGGGGTGATTTGTTGTATTATTATTATTATTATTATTATTATTATTATTATTATTATTATTATTATTATTATTATTATTGTTGTTGTTATTATTGGACAGTAAGTAAATCAGGACGTTCATTGATTAATAAGAAAAGTGTCGAAGAAAAACACAACACCATAACCAAATCAACAATACTACAAATAAAAAAGACAAAGAAAGAAAATAATAAAAATAGTAATAACAATAATAATAATAATAATAATAATAATAATAATAATAATAATAATAAGATGTTGTGAAAGATAAATTTGGACTATTTATCATAGGTCAGAGGAGAATCTTAAAACTTGAATATGAATTAGTACGAAACTAGAAAAATAGTGTAAGGATAACACTTTTTTAGATGCGTATAAATATTCCAGATATATTTATGTTAAGTAAGTATAATTTTCTTATGAAAATCACGCATTCAATGTTTCGAAAACTATAGTTTGATATGACATTATTTCTGTCTTGCCCATAAATTCAAACAAAATGGTCGGACTTTCACGGTATGACAGGAAACCATAAAACAGAGACTTGAAATACTGATTCTCTTTAGAAGAACAAGCCAAGTAAGACTTAATGACAATTTAAGATTCTTTTTCAGAAATTGAGAGCCTGTTCTGTTGTTGATTAATGGATAATTATGTACCAAAAATTGAGAAAATATGTACATATGTATTATAATATACAGAAATATGTTCTAAAAATTCGAAATATGAATCATTAAATCAATTCTTTTTTATTAAAATACGTTATTAAAAAATTCTTTTTTATTAAATTATATGTTAGCGTATATTATTCTGTTTCATAACATAAAGACCAAAATTAAACTTTATACACTTCCAAATCCTATTACTAACCACGATAATAAAACAAATATGTTTCAAATTTTGTTAATTTAAATTATGTTTCAAATATATATAAGAAACAAATATCTTTCAAATTTTCAGCAATGAAACCTTTGCTATTATCTTGTCAAAGGGTCTCCCATCCAGTGGAGCGGAATTGTCCCCTCCTTGCATTGTTCTCACTGCGCAAATTGTTTTGAATCCCGGGTTCTCTCCCCAACGGAAGTCCTCTTTTTCTATACTAGATAGCCTCCTGAAATTCGGATGATAAATGAACAGTTCTTAATAAAACTGCATTAAAGAAGCGACTGCTGATTGGGCAATTTCAAGGCAGTCAGAAAGTTCCAAGGAAGACGTTTACAAAGATTTAACTGTAGTGCTTACTGAAAAATGGAGCAATATAATTTTTCATCTTTTCACCATAGAGCAATTGATTAGATATGCATATGGGCGCTGCAGCATCAGAATTAACGTATAACTAGTATGTCAAAAAACATTTTCAGCATCGTAGCTCATAAAATCAATCCAGAGGCCCCATCTCGTTTATCCTTTTTTGTATTAGAAATCTATGCGTCATCTTTATCAACTGAGATCTAATCAGTTCTGTAACTAAACGCATGCAGAGTACAGGTTGCCACGCCTGCAGAGTTTCTGCCGCCTAACACATGCACGGCGGTGCATTTGCACAAGAAGGAAGACCGTTTCTGTGTTTAACTTCATCAAGTCACAAAAATGCCATTGTATTGGTAATAGTTTTGCAATAGTTTGATGGTTGCAGGTGGGCAACACTTCACAAGTTAACAAAAGAGACTTACCCTTTTCACCCCAAAAAAACTTTATACACGATGTTCATTCCCAAAACTGCTTCCTATAGGTTCTCAAAATAATCGGTTAACTAAAAAATAAATTTTCGGCTGGTTTAGATGAATTTCCGGATTGTTAAAGACACATATTTAATGCATCCTTATGTACCGAAACTTTTACAGATATTTTCAAAACAGCTAATATTAAGTCGCTTCTCAAGCAAGGCAACAAAAATGAAATTCAAAATGATCGGCCAATTTTCCTTTAGACAGTTTTTTCAAAAATATTGTAGAGACGAACGGAAATCTTTCTCGCTGAACACGACACGTTTTTAAATTGCCAAAATGGATTTCGAAAATAAAAATGTACGGAAATAGCCGTACTTGCCTTCGCTAAATTATCATTCATCGTTACCGCTTCCCCACAAGGTTCAATCGAATAGCTTCAGTGCTACTTCAAATTTTCGACCCAAAGAGATAATTTACAAACAACGGCGGAGGTAAGCGTGTGGCAATCGTCGAAAGAACAATGTTAACGGTGCTTCCTGAGCTGGACGAATAGTTTCTGGTGAGCGGTATCAAGGTCATTAGCAAACGCACAGCCGTGGCGACAACATCGCTCGCTCCAGCCTAGTGAGTGCAGTTACCCAGAAAGTTCACTAAGTGTATAGCAGTAAAGTACTCGTTGTGTAGTGAAGTTGTATAGTACAATCAGCTAACATACAGTGCGTCATAAACTAACAGTCGCTTATCAGTTATTATTATCGGTTAGCCCCTTCAGACAGCTGTTACCTAGGTCAGCATTGCAGAAGCCATGGCAACTCACTACGGCAGCGAATGTGTCATGGACAGTACCTCCAGCAGTCCAGAAATTCAACAACATCTCGTATTCGGAACCATCCCGAGCTGCCAAAACCCACAGCTTGCCTCAAACATGCAGTATGGGCAGTTTGTAACTGTTCAAGGTGCCGATTGCAGCTCGCAACAGCTCGCCGGGGCCGGAAACCTCCGGGCCGGAAACCTTCAGATAGGAAACCTCTGCTCAGCAAAAGACGCAGCTAGCAGCGAAGCAGCCTTTTCCGACAACAACAGTGTGTCGCTACCAATTACTAACAGTGCAAAAAGAACCCATAACTCAGGAGAAATAGACCTCCCTCCAAATAAGAAATCAACAACTTCAGATTCAACTCAGTATAATATACCAGTGGGAAACAGATA